TATGAAATATGAGGTAATAAAAACTTGAATTTAATGTTTTTTATCTTAATCTGACACATTCTGTCTGTATTAAAACAAGATTCTCCAATGGGACAAAGCCATTCTGTCTTATTTAATGAACTGTGGCTTTATTTTCTCATTCCAACAGACATTTATTTCCAAAACAAGATAATTTTGCTTTGTCCCATTGGCAAAACTTGTTTTAAGGCAGTCAAAATACTCAAATTATAATTCATTTTGCCGAATTTGAGCCATTTTTGACTTATTTTTTTAATCTCTTTTTTGCTGAGGGATTGCATCTTCACTCGTTTTAATATACCGTGATTATCTATGATTTTGCTTCATATGATCGTAAGCCCTTTAACTCACCTTGCCTAGAATTGAATGCCCAAGCTTAAAGATCACACAATCAATACAATCACATCCATCCCTTGTGAAACTGCGAACCACGCCCTCACCTTTGGACCGTCTACGCGTCCGTTCTGCCTGTGTTTATTCTGTGGCCCCTGTTTCTTTAAAAGCGTGGCCCCCTCCCCGCTGTCTGGCTGTTATGTAACTCCCCTCTGCCTCTGTACAGTCAGCTGACACTTTTGTCTTCACGCTGGGTCTCTGTCTCTGCCTCCTCTGGCCTCGTGTGAGCTCTGGAGGCTGTACCCGAGTCTGCTGCAGCTCACCGATCCTGCCCCGCTGAAAAATGAGCTTTGCCGAGCCCATAAATTGCCTCCAATTTAGACATGAAGGCAGAACTATTTGAGCATTTTCAAGTCTGAGGAAAAGAACCAAACCCTTTGATATGTTTTGCTACATTGTTTAAAGTGGAAAACGGGTGGACATTTTTGTTGAGTTGAGGGTTGGAATTATTTTTGATGTCTGGCTAGTTACACCAATTATTGTTTTAATTGTCTATAGGGCACTGTCCGGTTTCCGAAATGTGCTAAAAATAGCTCAGAAGACTGCGCATGCGCGCATGTTTCGGACAAACATTGTGTACGACTCGTTGAGTTCTACTGTGTTCTCCTCATACGCGTGTGTATTTATTTGGGCTAAATCATTGAATCATGGTGACAACAAAACACTGCAGTTATGGTGCTTGTGGGAGCGATTTCAGATACTCTGAAAAGGACTATATGAAAGTAACATTCAACCTGTTCGTTAAACCACAACATCGGACCAGACCAGGACCAGACCAGGACCAGACCAGGACCAGATCAGGACCAGACCAGGACCAGATCAGACCAGGTGGGTGCTTGTGGTCGGCAGAATTTCTCTCATGAAAAGGTTAAAAAGGACACATGTTTTTTCAAAACACTTCGCTGGACCAACTGTGGAGCATCCAGATCCAGTCCTAGCTACGTTTAGCTGGGACTGGATCTGGACCGCTGTATCAGGTCCGTCTGAGCTCTTCTGAATGTAGTTAGCACAAACTTTCTCTTTACACCATTTACCCCCATCAATCCATATTAGTATTGTTTGTCCTAATCCAGAAAGTATACAATTCTCACACCTGAAGAAAGATGAGAGGGATTTTTTTCAACTTTGTGTCTGCTTATTATACGGCTTTGTACCAATTGAACACACAAAATAAACGTCATTCACTACTCATGCCGAAAGGTTTATTTAATGAGTGCAAAGAAAATAGTTCCCAAAGGTTTTCCCGTGGCAGGCGAGTAACAGTGAGGATAGTTAACCTAAAAGCGATCGCTTTAGTCGCATTAAAAAAGTATTTTTGTCATGAAAACCTGAACAGTTAATTCTGAAAACCTCCGTGCACTTGTGTTATGAATGTGTATAATGTATTCTCCCATTAACATTTAAATGTGTTGATTGATTGTCATTTGCGTTTACTGAGTGTGGCTAGCTCTGATAGTTTCTCTCAGAGACAGTGGCGTAACCCGTTGTGATCATGGATTTATTATAATATCAGCTGACTGTAGCTAACTAATGATCAAACTAATTACAAAGTGGATAGTGCAAAAACAACTTGATAAATGGAAGTTAATCACAGCAAAACAAACAAAGAAGGCGCTAGCATTGCAATTTAAATGGCTAGATAATGTTAGCATAATCCTCACCATTACCTTTTTATCAAATCAAACTTTCTACCAGTTACTGGAAGACCACGACATTCAAGCCAACGTTATAATTGGTCTACACTATGATCCCTGATGGTTTGATGGTGGAATTTTGCCCCTGGTTTATCATTTTCGTCTAAAGTGACAAGTGGTATTTGATTCATTTCGGCAGTGTTTGTCCGAAACATGTGGGCGGGAGTTGACAGACGGCGGGGGCGTGTCTTAGTGACGTCATTTAGATAGTTCGCTATTGCTTAATCCAATCCAATTTATCTATATCACATCTTTGCCGCAAAGTAACACACAGGTTTGCCAGCCTTGTATGTATCAAAAATTATGATAAAAAATGAAAAAAAACAATAAAATACTAGCTATCAAATACAAAAATAACAATAAAAACTATAATATAAATACATCAGATAAATAAATATTGTTATTAAATAGCAGGCAAAGTTTTGGAGCGCCAAATATTTGAGAATGACCTTGTTGTAGGATGGAATTAATTCATTCCTGTGTCTATTTGTTTGAACTGAGACGTCAGCCATGCTTCTGGGTGGATCAATAGTTTCCTAATGGGCTCTGACACTAATTTCCTCTTAATAGAAACACGGGCATTGGATTGACTAAAACACAACTTGAACAAAACTAAAGCACTCTAAAACCAAATAGTGTTGATTCTGCCAAAAGCTTGGGTACCTAACTTTCAAGCTACACAAACAAGTAACTATAAAATCCATCTGACTCGCTCCTCGCTTTCTAAACAGACTGGTTCTATCACTAGTTCTGTATATTTTAGCCTCTGACATCTTAAGATCAGCGTTTTTTTAACCAAACATTTAAAGGAGTCCTGAAATTTGGTTGAAATCAAACCAGTCGTGCTCCAATAAATTACATTCTGCTTTTCCTTGGACTTTCTCCTCTCTTAAATTCTTGTCCTTGTGCTTGTCGAGTTATGTTTTGTACTGTTGCCTTACTGTGTGTGTGTGTGTGTGTGTGTTTCTGCCAGTGGGGGCGGGTCCCGGCTCAAAAGTGACCAAAATGAGGTGCGCTGACATGCTGCAGTACCACCCCGGGCCTGTGGGGGTGGACCCGGAATAAGAATTAGCCAATGCTAACATATAGCATCTTCTTACCTCTGGAAATCGTCTTTACAGGATGGTCCAAAGTTGTCTCTTGGCCCAAAGCTTCGTTCCACATGTGTGTCAATGCTGAGGGAGTGTTCTGGGAGGGAGTGGCGGCACGGTGGCTGAGTGGATAGCACTCTCGCCTCTCAGCAAGAAGGTCCTGGGTTCGAATCCCGGTCGGACCAGGGCCTTTCTGAGTGGAGTTTGCATGTTCTCCCCGTGTGTGCGTAGGTTTCCTCCAGGTACTCCGGTTTCCCCTACCACTAAAAATATGTACAATAGGTCTGGCATGTGCCTCCTGTACTGGCCCCGCTCCTGTCTCTGTGTGGAGTGAGAGACAAATGCCCAAAAATAACAATTGTAAAACGCTTTGTGACTCTGGTCTGTGAAAGGCGGTATATAAATAAACATTACTTACTACTTACATTACTTCTGGACCAGGCTAGTTTAGTCGCTGTGGACTTTTGAAGTCTCTCGTTTAAATGAATGGAGCTTGTGCGGCTGACACATGCACAGATGCGTTGTTTCACATTTTCCAGCCCCCGCGGCTATTTTGAGGCAAGGCAAGGCAAGTTTATTTGTATAGCACAATTCATACACAAGGCAACTCAAAGTGCTGAACAAGATAGCATTAAAATCATAAATAATCACAGAACATTAAAAAGAAAGATAAAAATATAAAATATAAAATCCCTCAGTTGTATGCACAGCTAAACAGCACAGTTTTTAACTTGGTTTTAAACATAGTCAGAGAGGAGGCCTGTCTCACATCTTCAGGAAGAGTGTTCCAGATTTTAGCAGCATGAATCTGAAAAGCAGCCTCCCCATGTTTAGTTCTGACTCTGGGCACTAACAGGAGTCCAGTCCCTGTGCTCCTCAGAGTCCCAGCAGGAGTCCAGTCCCTGTGCTCCTCAGAGTCCTGGCTGGTTCATATGGGACTAACATGTCACTAATATATTTTGGTGCGAGGCCATGGAGAGACTTGTACAGAAGCAAAGCTGTTTTAAAGTCTATTCTCTGAGCCACAGGAAGCCAGTGCAGAGACCTGAGGACCGGACTAATATGGTCGTACTTCCTGGTTCTAGTCAGGACTCGAGCTGCTGCATTTTGAATGTACTGCAGCTGTTTTACAGCCTGTTTGGACAGACCTGTGAGCAGGCCATTGCAGTAGTCTAACCTACTGGAGACAAATGCATGGATAAGAATCTCCAAGTCTGCTTTAGACACTATGTTTTTGATCCTGGAAATGTTTTTTAGATGGTAAAAAGCTGCTGATGTTACTGATTTGATGTGGCTATTAAAATTTAAGTCTGAGTCCAGTATTACCCCTAGATTTCTGACCTTGTTTGAAGGTTTTAGGGAGAGAGACTGTAGATGAATCACTCCATTAAACCCCAATGTTTGGCCCAGTAGTTAGAACGGCGGAGATAGGCCGTTAATACTGTATATACAGTCTATGGTTTCTACCTGCCTTAGGACAATGGATGCTATTTAGCTCCTGTGCTAATTCCAGCATGTTTGTGTTGACGCTGTTTGTAGACACATTAATCAATATGGACTGTCCTGAATTGAAATGAATAAAGTCCGTAAATGTGGTTGAATGCTGAGTTCCCTGGATCACCACCACTGTCCTTAGACCCTCCTGCATCTGCAAAAACTCTAAAAACCCTGTGGGAGAAAATGAGAACCCATTGAGAGAGAGATCCGCTCTCTTCACCTGTTCTCTGAAGATTGCGTTTTTTGGGATATTATTAAACTCAAAAACGTGGTACCCCTGCTTTAATTCGTTAACGTAGTCGTACTTTCAACTTATCTCTATGTTCTGTAATGGCTCTTTGACTATTGCTTTGGGTTGAATCAAGCCTCTCTTCACCTGTTCTCTCTGGTTTCTCTGGGGACTGCGCTTGGAGGCCGCGGAGCTGGGGTCGGTGGAGCGTCCTGTCCCTGTGGTGCCGTATCTCAAACCGAAAACCTCTCCAGTTTCCTTTGAGCTGCTGCATGTTGTGTTCAGGCGTTCCTGTGCATTACCCAGGCGCTGAGAACATCAGGGGAAAACACTCCAGAGAATTACAGTCCTCTCTGTTCTTGCGTGTTTTTTTCTTCCACCGAGCAGCTATGTTTCTTCCCGAGTTAAAAGTTTCTCCAACCCCTTTAAGACTGATACGCCCAACTGTGAACTGTTGAAATGGGCAGAGAAAAGTCAGTGGAGAGAGATACGGACTCCAAACGTGCTTAAAGAGGTGCATTTGGCTGTGCATCTTTTTGCCAAAACATTACCATTTCAACATGTTTTGCCCAAAATAGTTTAAAAAGTTGGGTTTTTTCTCAAAGCTGTAGGAAGGGGATTGGTGTCACAGCACGGCGCCATACTTTTGTTATTGTTGAAACGTCATCTCAAGTTATAACTTTTCTCTGAAATTGTCTCAAAAAGTGTTTGGCTAAACTTCAGTTATGGCTAAAGTGATGGCTGATGTCGGCCGCTGATTTCATTCCATATTTGGCCGTCCATTTTGTAAAGACTGGGGTACCTGACTTTCAAAACACACAAAAACAAATGACTATAAAAACTGTTTGTATTGTATATTTTTGTTTACCGTTGGACCATATTATATTGTGTCCTTACTACAGATACAATAATAATCATAAAACCCTTGCTAAAATGCTAAAAATTATAACATATGAGTTAATATTTGCTTGACTCAAGTGGGTTTTATTTTAATTTTTGTACATTTTAATCTAATTCTTGTTAGATTTTAGTTAGAGTTAATTATTGAACTTGGTCGATTCGCCGACACAGATCAGAGAATCAAACAGTTCAAAGACAGGAAATGCCATTGGTCCATGAGAGGAAGATGCCCAATGTCCATAAATGAGTTTACCACCTCTTCTTCTTCTGTTACTACCACATTACCAACACATTTGGATCTTATTTCAGAAATACCAACATTGAGGTTGTGGATCTTTCCATTTTTGCCACAGCCCTCGTTCATGACCAACAATAATTGGGGGGGTAAAAAGTAGACAAGACAGACATATTGAATACATGGGAACACTTGTCGTCATCAGACACTCACATGAAGTAACACAAAGGGATACAACACAAGATGGCGGCGGGGGGGCTCCGAGCTGACAGCCCTGATTACTAAAGAGGCGACGTTCGAGAAGAGTAAACTATATGAACTGATTTCTCTGATTGAGGGGCTTTGGCAGAGGAGGCAGAGACACGGTGTTTGTGAGTGGCGTGGTGCAGCGATCTGTGCCGGTAGCTCTCGCTGATTCTGCGTCAGCTCGACCTGAGATTGAAACATTTTTTTAAAAAGTGTCTCTCGGACCCGCTGTGTTTCTCCATATCCGCCTTCAGTGCAGACGAGGCTTATGTCTAGACCTCTGCCTGTGCGAGGAGTCTCAATACCTGAACAAATGTGCTGTTTAAGAAGGTTATGTGCCAGCGGCTGTGTCAAAGTCATGTCTCTTGTGGATCAATCACGTTTAAGCTTGCGTTGTAATGACTTCGGGACAACTCTATGTTAGAAAGTAAGAAAATGCCTCACAAGGGTGGAACATTTCACTCATTCAATACAGACATGCAGTTATTCTAATTCTGCATGTATAATTGCAGCCTAGTGTCTTGTTTGTTAAAGCTGGGAGTGCCACAGGGGTCGATCCTGGGACCTCTTAAATTAAGTGGCCTTACCTTACCTTCAAAGATTCCCTCTGACTACTGTAATACTCACTCTCAAAATAACAGTTTTCACAGGCTTGTATTTTTGGCCTCTGTCACATCTTTAGAGAAAAGTCAAAACACAAATGAGCCTAAAATGTCAATTAGTAACTCAATATCAGTGAAATTATAATTGGGCACAAAACAAAATGTATTGTTCATTCAAAAATATAGTTTAGTACCCTAGATTGAATTAATCGCAGCTAACATGTTTTGAGTCTGGTAGTTCTCCGTCAGGATGCCCTCAGGGAGAGTCGCGAAAGCTTTCCTCATGCCTCAAACCTCATCAATAATACAATAGTCAATGTCCTTCTGTACATTTATGTCTCTATAGATCTATTCTTGGTTGGCAACATTTTGCACATTGTTTTAGCTAAATAGCCGGACGCTTACAGAGAACAGGAGGGTCTAAGGGCAGCGATGATCCTGGACATTTTTTTGTGAAGTCCTCCAAGACGTCTGCAGTTGTGCTTTAGACCGATACAAAACTAAATGGAATTGAATTGAACATAACGCAATACACAAATTTTCACGGTTCAGACGTCCAGTGTCTTTGTTCAGCATTATCACATCCAAACAAATCCGTGACAAAGCACCAGACTTTGGGAATTTCACGGCAGCCCATTCCTACAACATACAGTACCCCCCGAACTGGCCATCTGAGCGAATCATCGAGACGGGAACTCATTCTGGATTCATTCTGATTGAGCTGAAAAAGGTCGATGTTTGAAAGACGTGCTGTGTTTGCGATACTCTCCGGGACTTTCTCTGTGGCGCTCTTGCAGTTCATCTGAGCAGGCATTTAGCTAGGCTCAGCTGATGAATAAATAAGCATGGCACGGTCACGGATCAGTGCGTCTCTAATGTGCTGCGACCGTGCGCTTGTCGACGCGCTCGGAATGCACTGGAGGGGGCGGGGCCAAGCTCTCGACAATCTCACCCCCCCTTCCCCCACGTCTCCACGTCATCCCACTCTCCCTCACCCGTGTAAGTGATGTAAGTGCGCGGAGGGGGAGGGGGAGGGGAGTGATGGCATTTGGCTAACTGTCTCTGAGTGCTTTGGAGGCATGCGCATGGGCTCGCTGGAATCCTAGCTCTATAGTCAAAATACAAAATAAAAAAACTTAAATGAAAAATTATAATTGTCAGTGAAAAATGCTTGATTCCTTGTAAGGTGAATTTAGGTATATGGGGTGGGAGTTCATAAGTTTGACTTCTTCCCACTCCAGCTTCGACTGCGCTGCAAAAAATGATAAAATATGATGTAATATATGCCAAGATTCTCCAATGGGACAAACCATTTAATCTAATTTCCAGAAAGGGAGACATTTCTTGTATATTTTTTAAAAACAAGATCATTTTGTTGTGTTCCATTGGAAAATCTTGTTTAAAGGCTCAGTCAGAATGTGCTCAGATGCGTGCCAAATTTCAGCAATTTTTGGCTTTTTTATTTTTTTTCATCACTTTTTACAGTGTGGAGTGACCAAAATAACCCTTAAAAAATATATGTATATTCTATTCCGTTAAAAAAATGTTTTTATTATCCTTAAAACACCACAGTAGTTATCTCGAAGTCCTTATAAGCTGTTGATTCGCCAACACAGATCAGAGAATCAAACAGAAGAAATGAAATGATTAAAAACACATTGGTCCATAAGGGACAGAGACCAATGTCCATAAATATCGTTAAACCGGGCGGCACGGTGACTGAATGGATAGCACTCTCACATCTCAGCAAGAAGGTCCTGGGTTCAAATTCCGGTCGGGACAGGGTCTTTCTGTGGGGAGTTTCCATGTTGTTCTTGTGCCTTTGCAGGTTTCCTCCAGGTGCTCCGGTTTCCCCTACCACTGAAAACATGCTCACTAGGTTAAATCCTCCAGCTCCCGGGCGCTGTTACTACGGCGACCACTGCTCCTGACGTAAGCCTTAGCAGCATCAGGATCTGGGTCAAATGCAGAGGATGAATTGCCCTACGGTGATTAATAAAGTGCGCCTTTACCTTTAAATGTTGAGTGAGCGGGAATGAATGAATGAATGAATCGGTTTATAAACTTGAAGCATTTTCTCATTCTTTTTACATTCTTTCTTTTAAAACATACATCTGCAAGACAGGAAATTAATCTCTACAATGGATAAAGCGTTGATTTTTGCACTCAAGCCAAACGTATTGTGTCTGTACTCGGCCGTGTCTCGGTTCAGAGGGTGTTGTCCAGATTTACTCGTACAAAAATATTGTTTCTGGACAGATCCAATCCTTCCTGTGGTTCTGATTTCTTTCAAGATGTTACTATTATCTTTGGGAAAACATGTCAATCATCGACAAGAACCCATTGTGCCTTAAACTCTAGTTCAAGTATCAAGTGCAAAAATCATAATTCTTTAAACAGCACATTCAGGTTGGAAATGACTGTGGTTGTTCCAGTAAACCTTGTTTTTAAGATTCAGGTAAGATAAGATAAGATGTGCTTTATTTATCTCACAGAGGAGAAATGTACATGTCACATTTGTCATGGATAGAACACTCAGATTGTGCAAAAGGAGGAAATGTGCAAACAAGTTACATGCAGGATATATGTACAATAAAAGTGACAATAATTATGTACAACAAAAGTGACAAGTGTCAATTGGAAACAGTGTCAATAGTAGTGCAGGTTTTCACACAGTGATCATTTAAAGTGACTTATTGTACAGTCTGACAGCGGTGGGGATAAAGGCCCTGCGGTAGCGCTCCTTCCTACACTGAGGGTGTCTCAGTCTTCCACTGAAGGAGCTCCTCAGCTCCTCTACAGTCCTGTGCAGGAGGTGTTGTTCATGATGGAGGTGGCTTTGACTAGCACCTCCTGTCCCTCACCTCCTCCACAGAGTCCAGGGGCCTCCTGTTTCTCACCTCCTCCACAGAGTCCAGGGGCCTCCTGTCCCTCACCTCCTCCACAGAGTCCAGGGGCCTCCTGTCCCTCACCTCCTCCACAGAGTCCAGGGGCCTCCTGTCCCTCACCACCTCCACAGAGTCCAGGGGCCTCCTGTCCCTCACCTCCTCCACAGAGTCCAGGGGCCTCCTGTCCCTCACCTCCTCCACAGAGTCCAGGGGCCTCCTGTCCCTCACCTCCTCCACAGAGTCCAGGGGCCTCCTGTCCCTCACCACCTCCACAGAGTCCAGGAGCCTCCTGTTCCTCACCTCCTCCACAGAGTCCAGGGGCCTCCTGTCCCTCACCTCCTCCACAGAGTCCAGGGAGCAGCCCAGAGTGGAGTTGGCCCTCCTGACCAGCTTGTTCAGTCTGTTTCTGTGGAGAGGGGGGAGAATCAAACCGGTTGAAGTACTGGTTAAATTCATCCGCCCGGTGCTGGTCTCCATCCGCTGTTCCTCTGGCACTCTGTCCAAAGCCGGAGATGTTCTTTAGGCCTCTCCACACGTCGCGGGCGTTTCCCTGGGCCAGCTTCTGCTCCAGCTTTTTCCCATAGTCCTTCTTGGCCCTCGACCCTAGGTAATCGCAAGAGGGTGTTACGGTTGGTGAATGTGCAGCATGATGTTTTTAACAAATACACTGCAAAAAGGAATGAAAAATAAGTCAAAAATTACTCAAATTTGACTAAATGTATCTTAATCTGAGCACATTCTGACTGAGCCTTGAAACAAGATTCTCCAATGATCATGTTTTAAAAAGATACAGAAATGTCTCTCTTGGAATGAGAAAATCAAGCAACATTTCTATCTCCCATTAGAGAATCTGGTTTTAGAACAGTCAGAATGTGTCAGATTAACCCTTTCAAGAAAGCAATGTATTTTTTTCTGTTTTGTATTTTCTAAGATGTAGAAACACTAATGCCACATGTTTTTATGTGTTTTTCCTTATTATGATGGGCCTTTACAAATGGTTGAGATGCAGTTTGATGGTAAAAGTGCCTAAAACCAAGTGAGATTCCCCAAAGAGGGAGATTTCAGTTCTAATACGTAGATATAGTAACTCCAAAAAGTGATTTAACAAATTAATGAGGAAATAAAGTGCTAAGATAAAACCCACTCGATTCAAGCCGTTATTACCTCATATTCTATCGTTTTTTTGCAGTGTGTGTATATTTGCTGTAACAAAACGACAGTGCGCACACAAAAACGACCTCTCTCCCGTCCCCTGAGACTACTTTTGGGGTCCACAGTGTCGTACTCACAATAATTAGGGAAAAGCACGATGTAAATTCACAGTGAATTAAGTATTCATTCTCCTTCTGCCCGACGGCCAAAACACTTCCCTCAGATGTGCTGACCACATGTGAAAGTTTCTGGGTTCCTTATCCGCCTTTTGCTTATGCTGCTGCTGCTCGCTCACTGATTCCACTGACTCCACTGCGCCCCATTGTCTCATTAATTCATTTTCATCATGTGGAAGTGATTTGATGAAAAATTGAAGGTAATATTAAGGAGTAATGGATGTGTAATGCTAGAATCGTGTTGATAATCCCAGTGGGGTAAATCCAGCCACTCAATGATCCCGCTGTCAAATAATCCCCCAATTCACACTTTGTTGCACAATTACACTCTACAAAGACTGCACTGAAAAAACTGATGAATAATGCGGTAGTCATTGCTTGAATCAAGTGTTTTTTTGTCTTAATTTTTTGAGTTCATTGTGACTGTGTAAAAACAGGATTCTCCAAAAGGGATGAAGCCATTTCAAGAACTGTGGCTTTATTTTCTCATTCCAACGGAGACATTTCTGTATCCAAGATTTGTGTCCCATTGGTGAATCTTGTTTTAAGGCTCAGTCAGAATGTGCTCAGATTAAGACACGTTTAGCCAAATGTGGGGATTTTTTTATTTATTTTTTTATTTTACACTGCAAAAAGTGATAAGATAAGATAAGATAAACCTTTATTAGTCTCACAGTGGAGACATTTCAGAACGTGAAGTAAAAAAAATAATCAATTTGTGTCTTAATTTGAGCACATTCTGACTGAACCTTAAAATAAGATTTGCCAATGAGATGAAGCAAAATTATTTATTTATTTATTTATTTATTTATTACAGGGACAGTGCATATTAATGAACATTTCTGTAAATATGCCAGAATTAGTCTAGCAGCTATTTTTCCTCCATAGTGTCGTGTCTCCTGAAAGATAAAAACATGTTACACAGACGGTTAAAATAATGTGGTCTATTCACAGTATTTACAAGGACAAGACACGAAAACATTCAGTCACACGTCATTCAACAAACAATATAAACATAAGGAGACAGACACAAGATCTTGTTTTAAAAGATATAAGAAATGAGGAAAAAACGCAACGTCTTTGTCCTATTTGAGAATCTTGTTTCAACACAGTCTGAATGTGTCAGATTAAGATAAAAACCCCTTGATTTGAGCATTTATTACCCCATATTTTCTCACTTTTTGCAGTGTAAGGTCTGACTCTGGCATAAAAACCAAACAGAAGTCATCAGTGGTGGAATGTTGCAGCTGTGAATGAAACTCAGACTAGACTAACTTTAAAATCATGTCTGTTTGAAGACTCCGAAACGTGCAGTAATTCATCAGACGTTCGTGTATGCGCCTCTCACATGAATCAATAGTCCATGTCTCTCCTCCGCTCACTGCTTTTTTGTGCGGCGCCCCCTGCTGTGAGCAGTAGGTCAGTGTGTCAGTGTGCCGTGGCCTTGATGCTCACACGTTCTGACAGACTCTGAGTGGAAGCAAAAACACTGGAGGTCTGCGCCGGGCTACACCAGTGTCAGGGAGAAAGCCGCTTTGGAGGAACAGCGTCAGCAAAAGTCAAACAAAATGATTTTCTCTTGACAGGTTTGTTCTGTTTCTGTGACTCGGGAACGGATTCAAAAGCTGCAGCTGTGTTTTCGATCGGTTACGACTCCAAAGATTTATGCTTCTTGCTTCTTTATTATGCTAAAGCTAGATTTTATACTTGCTTCTTTATTATGCTAAAGCTAGATTTTATACTTCAATCCTCTGCATTTGACCCATCCTAATGCCTCTAATATGCTGATGACACCACCATCATCGGTCTCATCAGTAATAACGATGAATCGTCTTATAGAGCCGAGATCCAAAACGTGGTTCAGTGGAGTAAGGCTAACAACCTCCAGCTGAACGCATCCAAAACATGCGAACTGGTCTTTGATTTTAGTCGCAATAGTTCTCATTTGCCTGTCGCAATCGATAACTCCCAAGTGCAGATCGTAGAGGAGCAAGTTTCTGGGTTTAACTCTGTCTAACCTGAAATGGGTTAAAAACACTGACCGGGTCGTAAAGAAAGCTCGTCAGCGTCTCTACTTCCTGCGGAAACTTAGAGAATTTACCACTAACTCTAAGATTCTGCTTAACTTTTATCGCTGCACCATTGAGAGTTTACTTGTTGGTTCTGTGTCTGTGTGGTTTGGAAACATCACAGATAAAGAAAAGAGAGCTTTAAACAAGGTGCTCCGCTCTGCAAAGAGGACCGTGGGCTGTGAACTTCCTGTTCTGGAGGCTCTTTATCAATCCAGACTTTTTAACAGTGCCCTGAGAATTATCAATGACTCTTCTGGCCACCCAGGAAAAGCCTTGTTCCAGCTTCTTCCCTCTGGCAGAAGATACTGTTCTCTGAGATGCAGGACATCTCGTTACGCTAATAGTTTTTTTCCACGAGCTGTTATCAGTTTGAATAGAGCACTTTAATGTTGTTGCACTTGTACAGATCTGTTTTAAGTCGGTCAACTTCACAGTGACATTTGTTTACTGTTTTTAAAATGTGTTTTATTTTTGTCTTTTAATGTTGTTTTGTGTCTGTACTTGTCCTGTGCACACTGGGAACTTTTACTAATGTATTCCAATGTAGTGTTACTGCAAATGGCGAATAAAATGAATCTGAATCTGATCTAAGGCTTACGTCAGGAGCAGTGGTCGCCGTAGTAACAGCGCCCGGGAACCCATCTCCAGATGCTCGGCTTGGTCAGGACCAGACCTGGAGGATTTAATCTAGTGAGCACGTTTTTGTGGTAGGGGAAACCGGAGAACGTGCAAACTCCACTCAGAAAGACCCCGTTTCGACCCAGGACCTTCTTGCTGAGAGGCGAGAGTGCTATCCACTCAGCCACCGTGCCGAGTGGACTTGCTTCTTTAAAATGCTAAAGTTAGAGATTTTTGTTGGGAGTTTACTGATCTCAATGAGTGATGAATGAAGGATCTCCTAACATGGAGGACTGTATTACGAATGGCCAGGATTCCTTGTCTAATATCTGTATTTATCCAGGGTGAGGGCTGCTGTACCCAACCATATACATATATAAATGCTTTTCCTGCTTCATCGCTTAAATAAATGTCCCTAAACGTCCCGGATCATCGCTGTCCTCTGACCCTCTTCTCCTTAACCATAATCTTGGAAAGTCTGGAGGGGCTCGCGAGTGACAGACAAGTCACATTTGTCTCGGGCTCCCAGTGCTGTTGGACACAAACATACAAGACACTCTCAACCTCAGGACAATCGTCTGCACAATTACACAAGATTATACCATAGTATTGCACAGTCCCATTGGGGCAAGGATCCAAAATGATTCACTAGTAAAAAGACCACAAAGAAAAACACAATAAGTGTCACCATTGCAGCTGTATATTTCAAACCCTCGACCGCTGCAGGTAGACCTTGGTCCTAGATCTACCTGCAGATCCCCATTGACAGATTCCCTACCCAGCTCTCCACTCTTTCCTTTTCCCACATAAACATAATAATATCTTTGCCTGTACATACCAAGCATATGCGAGCGCTTGGTTTAGACATCCAGGGTGAAAGCGGGAGTCGTAGCCTGTGAAATATCTGGAAGGTCCGTGGGAGAGCGAGGGCCGGGTCCGTGAGCCGCGGAAGCATCACATCAGTGCATTGTAATGAGAAGAGACTGCTGCCTTTGATCACGCGCCTCTGGTCTGCTTTAGCATTGAGGCCTGTCACAGCGCCTGGGCTAAGCTAATACGGCACGGGTTGGAGACAGCGGAGAGGCCAAACAGAGTCATCACTTGGCGGTAATAGACCCATTGAAATGCGGTTGCTTTAAATGCTACGTGGACGTTCTGCTGTAAATGCCCTGATTGAGTTTGGAATGGTGCTTTGAGGTGGTGTTGTTGACCTCCATTTCATTTACTCTCACTTCAGTCAGTGGGACGTTTTTGCAAGATGCCCTTTTATTTATAAGCTCTGAATAAGAATGACTTTCTCTGACCATATTTGTTGAATATATCAATTTAAATGATTTTAAATTTACTGGCAACAGACGGCGTGGAGGTTTGGGGAAGCCTTCGGTTGTCATTCAAACTGCTTCGTGGCAACTTGTGAGAGAAAAGGTTGGTCTTTTTCTCTGCACCGCTTTGCAATACGAGCAATTTCAAAGAGAGAAAACACCGTATCAGTTGGAGTTTCATTATACTCATATTATAAGACTATGTTTGTACCGCGGCTTCTGAGGATGTCAATGACGGAGGAGGTTCGCCGTAATGTATGCCTACAATTATAAGTATAATGGGGCTTGAAATACAATCAATACCTGGACAATGGGGATTAGAGGGGTTTTGTAAATAGTGTGTGTATATTGGGAAGGGTAGACCCATGGGAGGGAGGCAGGGGACACAAAATATTCTGCTTCTGTATGCAGCACAAAACAACAGATATTTGATCAAAAATATATTCATTATCTTTAATAAAAAATCACCCGGGGCAAGTTAACATACATTTTAAGACTAGAGTATGGACCGAGGTAGGTTTGCACAAAACAAGGTAAACAAGCTAAATCTGATGAAACTGCGTAATCCCAGAGTTCCTTCTTATAATGGTACAGGATAACAAAGTATATTACAGTAGTTATGATAGATAATCTTTTATTATAGTGTCTTGCACACGAAGATGCCCAGCCCACATGGGCTTATAAGACACCATTTACAAATACAGAGACACAGGCCAACATCAGGCACAGAAACACAATCATAAACAAAATAAAATAAAAAATAGAATAAAAAAAAAGAACAAGATCAAACACCAAAGCTCTCATTTAAATAGATGAGTCTGCCGCTTCTTCCAGGCTTTACTTACAAATGAAGACAATTTAAACACTTGATTTTCAAATAAGAATTTCATCTTATCATCATCACTGCCCCAAAACAAATCAGGATCCCGGGAAAACGCTTCATGAAACAACGCGTTTCTAAATTCATCATAAAAAGGACAATATAACAAAAAATGCACTTCACTTTCTACTTCATTAAGTTCACAAAATACACATAGTCTTTTCTCCTCAGGAGTCTGTGAAAACCTCCCTGTTTCTAAAGCTAGTGGAAGAATTCCTGTTCGTAACTGAGCCATCAAAGATCTCTGATTCCTGGCCAAATTTGCTGTGACGTAAAACTCTGTTTTGAAACGTTCTTTTAACTGAATATATGTTCTTAGTTTAGGTTTTGCCAAAATTCCAATTTGCCATTGTTTTTCAAAATTAGCCACTAGTTTTGCTCTAATGCTACTGACGCTGCATGGCAGATTGTTATGAAAAACATATTGGAGTTGTACTTCCGCAAACACAGATCGAAGCTCAGCAGCCCAGGGCGACATGGCTTTGCTCCACTTAAGGACCTTTTTTGTTAATCTGTTGTCTGGCATATTAATGATTCGATTCCACAATCTAACCATGTCACATTTTCTTTTGACTGTGCCAGGAACCCAGCCCATATCCCCCTGTGCTGCCAGAGCAGGAACAAACTTGTGAACTCCCAAAAAGAAACGGATTGCTCTGTTTTCTACTGCATCTAAGGCTGAATACTGTCTGGCCCCCCAAACACCAGCCGCATAGTTTAGAACAGGAGAAACACAGGCCTCATACAACTTAGAGTATGTTCTATAGCCAAGATCTTTACAAACTTTACATTTGTTTATCACAGAACCTAAAGCACGGCTGGCAGAGTCAGCAAGAACTTTGACTCCACAATCAAAACTCATGAACTCACTAAATCTAAAACCCAGGTATTTATACTCAGGGACAAATTCCAGTTCTATGTTGCCGAGCTTGAGGACATTTCTGCTTAACGGAATTGACTTCCTTCTGAAATGGACAATCTGAGTTTTAGTTTGATTTACGGAAAGTTTCCATTTAGAACACCAGTCTTGTAACACGTTTAACATAATCTGTAAATCCTCTTCTGTTTCAGCCAAGAGTGCAACATCATCAGCATAAAGCAAAATGGCTATTGTCTCAGAGTCCATGCGCATACCTACGTTCAATTGTTTTATTTCCAGAGCCAAGTCATTGATAAAAAGTGAGAACAGGATTGGAGACAGACTGTCCCCTTGTTTCACACCAGAGGGTATCGAAAACCAGTCAGTCTGGAACTCATTTAATTGGACACATCCAATACAGTTTGTATACAGTGATTTTAGTGCTTTATAAAATCTCCCATCGACCCCTGCCTGAAGAAGTTTCAGATACAATAGATCTCTGTTTACCCAATCAAAGGCTTTTTTAAAGTCTACAAAACAGAGAAATGTGGATTTGTTTTCAATCAATCGGGTTCTGACAATAGTTGAAACAGCAAAGATGTGATCAATACATGCTCTGTTTTTTCTAAATCCATTTTGTTCATCCACTAACAACTCTGTATCTTCAATGAAATCAGTCAGTCTAGTATTTAACAAACTGGAATACATTTTATATACTGTACTTAACAAACTAATTCCTCGATAATTGAGTGGCACTCTAGGATCATCATGTGATGCTTTGGGTATGGGTTTGATTATGGATTTATACCACAATGAGGGAATAAGGCTGTTATCAAAACAACATTTGAACAAACAGAAGAGAATATTTAGGAGATGTGGAGATTTTAGCACTTCGTTAGGTATGTTTTCTATTCCCATTGCTTTCCTGAGTTTTGCCCGATTCACAGCAACACCTACTTCTTCCACCGTGATATCAAAATTCAAAAACATATTTGGCTGATAACGATCTTGACACATAATTTTTTCTAAGTCTCGTTTTGTTGTCAACAGAATATTACTAGTGTTGGACTCAGGGACTAGTGCCACAGCGTAGAGATCTGAAAAATCATGTTGCCATTTGGCAAGAACTCTCTCCTTTCTCTGCTCCACATCACCATTGTCTGTGATAACTTCAATTGGAATTTTCTTTGTGTTTTGAGGCCCCAGCTTATTTATCAGCTTCCAAAACTGTTGTGGGTTGTTGGTTTGTAAATAGTCAATCTTTAAAGCTTGGCCCCTTTGAAATCTTCTCTTACAGGTTCTGAAATGCTTGTCAAAAAGAGACCGTTTCTGCCTGTACTTGTCCCTCAAGCCTTGTTTACCTTTAGAGTCTGTACAGTTGAGAAACTCCCTTTCTGCATGATTACGTTCGTCCCATAGTTTTTGAAGATGACCATTCCAGAAGGGACTGGACCTGTTAAATTGATGGGACTGTGTTTTGTTCAGAGGTTTCTTTTGGTAGACATTCATTTCATCAGTCAACATTTTACAAAACTCATCGTACCATTTATTTAGATCCTGGTCATTTATACATATTTTTACTTGTTCTGTTAAATGGCATAACAAGTCTTTACAGTTAATGGATGCAAGAAAGGTTTCAGGGATTATTCTTTGTGTACTTTTGGGCAAACATACATTTTCTTGTGGTATTTTCGTTCCTACTTTGAAAGTTAACAGCAACAGGGAATGATCAGGTAAATGACATCGGTCGCCAATAAGGGAAAGACATGTTGTTGCATTTTGACCCATAAGATCTGTGGCAGTAATCACTTTAAATTCGAGGCAAGAATCCAGACAGTCATGGGGCGTCACAAAATAATCCACTACGGCCTTGCCTCAAACTGAAACGGATGTATAATTATCATCCTCCACTTTAAATCTGCCATTTAAGATACAGCACTTGGAGTCTCTCAAAAAATCAAGAAAAGAATCCCCGTGACTATTGCAAATAGAATCCAACGCTAATCTGGGCGGGACAGGGTCAATATCCTCAATAGTGTCCAGTTTATTGCCAATGCGACTATTAAAGTCTCCACATATGTAAATGGCATCCGCGTCTAAGCCATAAATAATAGTCAACAAACAGGCAAAGAAATCTTCGCTGTCTTTCCCTCTAATAGATCCCTCCGGTGACAGATAGCAGGAAAATACAACAAAATTATATTTCGTGTGACGGTGTTCAAAATTCACTCCTATGATACCGTCCACAGACTTATCCACCACACTGATTTTGAAATGCTCAGCGAGAGTTTCACGGACTAAAAGACCAACACCACCAGAGCCTTTCGGGGCATTTCTATGTCTTTTCCTGTTGTTTCCAAACCAGGTGAATCCATTGAGTTCAATCGCACCTTCCGCAACCAAATGTGTTTCATTAAGAGAAATAATATGAGGATTTAAAGATTGCAACAGTAATGATCTGAGTTCAGAGTTTGCGTTTGTCCATCCGTTTACATTCCAATGCACAAGTGATAAACAAGATGAGTCAAATCTTACTGAGTTGGCAGCAGCTCCTCAGCGTCTCCATGCTTGGTTTCCTGCAGCGGCCGCAGCTCCACGCCCCGGGGGGGCAGTTCCACGCGCCGGGGGGGCAGCCTCAGCGGCCCCGCGGCGCACTAGTTTCCCATTGCCCGACACGTAGTAATCCTTCCCGTTTGGCATGTCCCGTAACAGCACTTTAAAATTCTCCTCCATGACACGATCAGTGTGTGATTTTGCAGTCTTAATGTAGACTTTCCTGTAGTTTTCAGTGGATTTGAGGTTTGATTTCGCCCGGAGCACTGCCACCTTTTCCTTCACAGATGCGAAAGCCACTTTTACCACCCCGGGCCCGGGGCCTCGTGAGCGCAGCCTCTCCAGCGCCACCAGCGTCACGGCTTGGTCACAAGCACAGCCATCCTCAACCAACTCTTTGATTTTCTCCATCAGATTCTCGTTTTCATCGTAATGTAAACCCATAATGACCACAGAGACCTCTGGGTCAAATAAGTTTGATGGGCGCTCGTGGTGCGTTTTTATCTTATCTTCCAGCTGCTGCATTCTGACTTTGAGAGAGCCTATTTCCTCGTCAAAATTGTCTTTCAGTTGTTTGAGTTCTTCTCTCAAGGTCCTTTCCAATGAGAGCTGGAGAGCATCCACTTTAGAAATCATTTGTTGTTCCACTTTCTCGATTTTAGAGGACACGGCTCTGATTTCTCTGAGCAGCGTTTGCAGGCCGCTATCCTCTTTGTCAGGCCCACGGCTACGCGTGACAATAGCTTTGTCTTTATCAGCCATTTCGGTGGTTATATGGCTCAAATTCGGTCACAAGAGTATCTGACAATGTTTAGCCACAAAGTATGTGTCCAAAGGCGAGTTTTGAGCCTTAAAACAGAAGAATAAGCGAGTCCAATATGTGGACTCGTTCTGCACACATGTGGCTCTATCCTGTATCCTGCAAAAAATGCATGTTTTTACAATATTAAATATCAGTGTTTTCTGGCCCAAAAGCCTGCATTATTACAGTGAGTGGCTTATCCACAGAAATGAATGAATGAATTACAGACCTGTAAAACAGACAGTTATGTCTGTAGTTTATAACCGATAACCCCTGCATTCCAATGTTTGCAAGAATAGGATTTATAGTAATAGACCGATTTGTTTGGAGGCACTAGATGGAGCCAATGGAGCCTAGAAATGTGCTCATGGGTAAAAGGTTGCCTCTACTTGCTTTGGCTCCATATTGGTTTACCACTTTTACAAACAGTAGCCCTGATGTGTATACAGTATGTTGGTATTGCCTTTGTAAATCCAGATATGTAAATGACCCCAAGGCCTTCTTTCCTCCAATTTGTCTATAGCTCGTAAGTACTGCAAAAGGGGACAGACCAGCGCAGCTCCTGATTGGCTCTTTGGTTGCTAGGTTGTTGCCATCCCTGAATTTGGCCCTAGATTCCTTCTTCCTTGTCATCGCCCAGTTCAAATATTTTTGCTATCCCGGAGGACTTTACAAAGCCGTCGATTTTCCAACACCATAGAGGCAGAGACCAATGTCCATAAATGTTGATTAAGAGATAGAGATTTTATACTTGTGTTTGTTAGAGTTAGAGATTTAGTTTTAATTTAATCAGTACAGCTCTTGTTCACGGATCTTGTGCTGTGTGCTCCTCATTCCTACTGTTCTAGAAATCCATAAATGTAGTTGAATATTGAGAGTCCTGGGTCATCACCAGTCCTGCCTAACACAACACAGATTGACAACAGTCTGCCCATATTAGCAGAACACACACACACACACACACACACTTGGGTAAATAACCTTTAGGCTGCGACACGGTGAAGCACGGAGATTCCCCGACACCCGCTGGCTCACCTCTCGCCGTCTCGTGGTCACAGTGGACTGGCTGGTGTGGTCTGGAGAGGTGCAGCCCTAACAAGGCGCTCTTCAAAGCCTCTTTAGTGCTCCGGAGAACATGAAAGACCTGTTTAAAAATTCAGGAGCCCGATCTGTTCCAAAGCTATGGAGCGGCAGAGGAAAGCAGATTTTACGTCGCCACAATTCCCCGGTTGCTTGCTTTGTAAATTAATTAAGATGTTTATGACAGCTGCTTGCACCTAATGGAATGCTTATAGACTGTGTTATTAATTATTAGTGCTGGCCGTGCTTGGCTGGTGCGATGAGATGCAAGGTTCTGTGATAGATTTTGTTACTGTCCGCGTGTTATGCTCTTTAAAAGCGACTGTACTGTACGATGCTGATGCGTTCTCGGAGGCGGGAGGAAGAGTCTCACCTCTTTTATTTGGTGCACAGCAGGAGCCTCTCATGTTAATGTTTATTCAGTCCTAATCCCTGAAAAGAAAGGAATGCCTTAAGAGAGCTGAGGAAAAAACACAATGCAAATATTCTCGTTTGAATTACAAGTTAAGTTTTGTTTTATTTTTGTAACATGTGCAGAACCTTAAAGCAGTGGGAGGAAAAATCGATTCTGTTTGGGTTTTTTGTGGGAACGCAGTTAACTTGATAGATTGATTGATTGAAAATGAAAAAGTTTGGGATCGTGACGGACAGGTAAAGACATGTTTTATTGTTTATGGAAGAGACGAGACACGAAGTTTTCCAGAATGCATGTGATGTTAGCCATAGACCGTCCAATCAGCATTAGCCACGGTGCAAGCAGCTGGGCCTTCAGATAATGAATTTAACTTTGGCGACAGTGGCTCAGTTGGTAGAGCGTTGGCCTTTAAGCCTGAAGGTCATGGGTTTGAGCCCAACAGGAGACATTCACCGACTCCCACTGATGTATGCTGGTGTTGTGTCCTTGGGCAAGACACTTAACCCCACTTTGCCCGAAGCCCCCGCTGAAAGATCAAGGCTATGCTCTCAGTGAGGGGCTGGTGCTCTGAGAATTGGATGCAACTCTAACTAACACGACCCGAACCAGAAATGGATTACGGGGAAGAAGATGGATGGATGGATGGATGGATGGAGTTTTACTTTAACCACAGTTGCTTGAACTTTCATGACATATCCAAACTCGTGATTGCTCTGAAGCTCTCTTCTTTTCAATTCAATGTATTTTTGTACAGCCCTAAATCACAACAGTAGATATCTCTGAGGACTTTACAAAACCTTTGAATTTGCCAGCGCAGATCAGAGAATCAAACAGTTCAAACACAAGAAATGCAAATATCAAAAACACATAGAGCCATTGGTCCATAAGAGACAGAGGCCAGAGTCTATAAATGTTTGATACATGTCCATAGATGTGGTTGATGTGGAGAGTCCTGGATCATCACCTCTGTCCTCAGACCCTCCTGCGTCTGCGAGGAGTCTTGCCTTTTTGAAGCCTTCTCCCATGTTTTGATTTGAAAATGTTGAAAGCCAGCAGCCTCCATTCATCATGTGTCTTGTTACTGTGGAGCAGGGCTCTCTCAGCGTGGCGCAGACAGCAGCCCCGTGGCGTTCACTTACGCCGCAGTCAGTGGGACAAATAAATACTCAGCGCTGGCAGCTCTGTTGATTACTGCCAGAGAGAGATGGGCCTGTTCCTCTGCAGCGCACCTCGGTGTCTCCTCCTCGCTCTCAGACTCATCCGCTCGCTGCATTTACATAGAGAACACAACGAGGGGAGGGCGAGGAGCTTCATCTGAGGAGAGGCCACACTGGGAAAAAAAATCCCTTGAAAAAAAGATGTGAAAATTACTAAGCAGTCTAATACTGCTTAAAATATAGAAAAATAAGACTAAAAATAAAACTAATATGACTTGACATGGTTTCGGTAAAGAAGAAAATAATATAATACTAGCCCCAAATGACTTGATTCTAGTTTAAAATCATAAATTTCAAGTATTATGTACTTATTTGAGAATTATTTTTTTTAGAATAAAGCAAAACGTACTTATTTTGTCTGTCTCTGTTTTGTGTTCATTGCTGTTATACACAATTCCTGCTTTTAACCATTTTTACCGTTGTTGTTTGGCCCGTTCTGTCTGAAAACATGAACCTGCCCTAATTCTGGCATACTTACATGTTAATTAATGTGCACTGTCCCATCTTAAATATATAAACAACAAGAAAAGTTGCTTAGAACAAGCTTAAAAAACTCACTGGTCAGACCTTTTTCTCCAAGATCATGAAGTATTATCATCTCAAAACTAGTCAAAATAATCTCACATTACAAACTACATTCAAGCAACAACAACAAAATTTGCCATTCAAAAAACAAGCATAATTTCTCTTATTTTTAGTGAAAAAATATTACCAGGATTTTTTTTTTCAGTTAAGTGTGAAATATGCATGGAGTCTTTCATCAGGCTCTGTATACACTGTGCTCCGGTGATCCGCCTGTACCGCCTGTACCACATGTACCATCTGTACCACATGTACCGCCTGCACCACATGTACCGCCTGCACCACCTGTACCACATGTACCATCTGTACCACATGTACCGCCTGTACCACATGTACCGCCTGCACCACATGTACCGCCTGTACCGCCTGTACCACATGTACCGCCTGTACCACATGTACCGCCTGCACCACCTGTACCACATGTACCGCATGTACCATCTGTACCACATGTACCGCATGTACCATCTGTACCACATGTACCGCCTGTACCATCTGTACCACATGTACCGCCTGTACCATCTGTACCACATGTACCGCATGTACCATCTGTACCACATGTACCGCCTGTACCGCCTGTACCGCATGTACCACATGTACCGCATGTACCACATGTACCGCCTGTACCACATGTACCGCCTGCACCGCCTGTACCGCATGTACCACATGTACCACATGTACCACATGTACCGCCTGTACCGCATGTACCACATGTACCACATGTACCGCATGTACCGCCTGTACCACATGTACCACATGTACCGCATGTACCGCCTGTACCGCCTGTACCGCATGTACCACATGTACCGCCTGTACCACATGTACCACATGTACCGCATGTACCGCCTGTACCGCCTGTACCGCATGTACCGCATGTACCGCATGTACCGCATGTACCGCCTGTACCACATGTACCACATGTACCGCATGTACCGCCTGTACCGCCTGTACCGCATGTACCACATGTACCACATGTACCGCCTGTACCGCATGTACCACATGTACCGCATGTACCGCATGTACCATCTGTACCATCTGTACCGCATGTACCGCCTGTACCGCATGTACCACATGTACCACATGTACCGCATGTACCGCCTGTACCACATGTACCACATGTACCACATGTACCGCTTGTACCACATGTACCGCCTGTACCACATGTACCGCCTGTACCACATGTACCGCCTGCACCACCTGTACCACATGTACCGCCTGTACCACATGTACCGCCTGTACCGCCTGTACCACATGTACCGCCTGTACCACATGTACCGCCTGCACCATCTGCACCGCCTGCACCACCTGTACCGCCTGTACCACATGTACCGCCTGTACCGCCTGTACCGCCTGCACCGCCTGTACCGCCCGTGTTGTGTTAGCTTTGAGAACACAGGAGGAGCATGTGATGTGTGTGTTCTATTAATCATGGTCCAGCACGGCAGTGGCTGCAGCGGCAGCTGTGGCTGTAGAGGCGGCTGTAGCGGCGGCTGTACCTCTCTGCCGTTCTTGTTGCACAGGAATAAAAAGCTGATGAACTCCTGCTAATAGCGCGAGCTTTGATCCACGGCAAAGATGAAGAGCGTGAGTTTTAATTATGAAAGGCATGAAAAATGAATGTAGCGTTAAGTGGCAACGACGGTCTTTTCCTTTTTGTCCGGTCGAGATCAGAGATAAATCACATCTGGATTCCATGGTGCATTGACTGATTGCAAATGATGATGCAATTGTTTTGTGCTTTATGTTCGGCTGCAAAAAATGATAAAATATGAGGTAATTGTTTGAATCGAGTGGTTTTTAACTTAATCTGACACATTCTGAGTTAAAACAAGATTCTCCAATGGGACAAAGACATTCAGTCGTATTTAAAGAACTGTTGTTTTATATTCTCATTACAAAAGATGCTTTGTCCCATTGGTGAATCTTGTTTTAAGACAGTCAGAATGTGCTCAAATTTCACACATTTTAGAAAATTCCAGCATTTTTTGGCTGGTTCTTCATCACTTTTTGGAGTTTGCATCTCTCTCTCTAGACTCTCAGGTTTTTGGCTTTGGCAGACGATTCCCACATTGTGCCTTAAACTTATCCCCATAAGAAAAGCCGGTGACGACAGCAGACTGGTTGAAGGGAAGCTCTCCTTTTTTCTCCTCTTTATTATTGTAAATGCACTTACGTTGTCTCTAGGAACAAATTTGCGATGATAAATGACTGTTCCCAATATCAGGCTCTTTCACACCAAGATATCACCACATCTTTTCCTCAGGCCAAGAATAGCTCTCCGCCTTTATTGTCCCGGGAAAGTAGCTCTCATGGTGAAAAAGGTTGGAAACACCAGATCTACATAAACTACATATTGGTAAAAGAGTATTCAGGGATACAACTATTGCACCTTTTTTGATATCACAACATAAACGAACACACTGAGCTCCAGGGCAACACAAAAGCCAAGCGATAGATCATCTGCAGTAAGTATAAGTAAGTAAGTAATCTTTATGGATATACCCCCTTTCTCAGCAGGCCTATAGTACGTGTTTTTAGTGGTAGGGGAACCGGAGCACCTGGAGGAAGCCTTCGCAGACACGGGTAGAACATGCAAACTCTACACAGAAAGGCATGTACTGTAGTATGGAGTTGTTGTCCATTTATCTTGTGTTGTGTTGCTCCTTCTACTTACTGTTGTGGAGCTGGTGATGCAACACTGACATTTCCCCACTGTAGGGCTTTGTGCATTCCCATTTATGCAACATTTGGGAAAATAAATCAGAAATACTATACTTAGATTGTGTGTTTTTGTGTTTTTTTTGTACCCGCACCGTTGCTCCGTCTGTAAATGAAGTTCCTCATGGATTAATAAAGTTATTTGAATTGAATTGAATTGAAGTCATACCGCAAACCTGAGAAAAACCCCCAGTAATCATGTCTCTTCGACCACCCGACCCATGGTGTGTTGTTGGTTCCTGGTCACGACACAATATCACACCCTTTACTTTAATCTCAAAAGGCCCCGTGTCTTATCAACTAACTGCAGGTCTGGGTTCATTAAGAGCGAGATCCGTGAGATATGACTGAAGTGTAATGACGGACATGCTTTGCAGAGGTCTTCATTACACGCTCTGCTTCAGAGGGACACTTCACGTTATTGGCCAGAGCTGAGAGCCGAGTCCTAACTGCTGCAGAGTTCCCTCCCATCTCTGCAATTACTGTGGTCCTCATATAAGCAGCGAGTGTGTGTCCGTGTGTGTGTGTGTGTGTGTGTGTGAGTGGGACTTTGAACGCTCACACAATGATGCTTCCCTGTAGACCGTCGTTCATTAGACTTTCTGCACTTCACTTCACCACAGAGAATTCTTCAACAATGATAATGACTCTTTTACTACACACAGTGTCCGAGAGTCAGGACGCTGCTGCTGCTGCTGCTGCTGCTGCTGCTACTGCTGCTGCTGCTGCTGCTGCTGCTACACAAAATGTCGCCAGAGATGTGTCCCGTTGTTGCCCATGTTTGTTTTTCGCTGCTGAACTTAGTTGCCTTCAAAAAACATGGTGCGTTTAACAAACATACACTGCAAAAAGTGATTCGAAATAAGTGAAAAATGTCTCACCCTGTTTAAGCCCATTAGATGCACATGTATTGTTATATAATTCATGTATTTACTAGCAATAGCAGCTTTGTACATTTTCACATATATGCTAATATATTTATCCATGTTGTAAATATTGACAGTCGCACTCTCAAAAACACACACATTCACCCAGAACTACAGAACATATTTTTAGTGGGAGGGGAAACCACAGCACCCAGAGGAAAACCTGCATGGGGAGAACATGCAAACTCCACTCAGAAAGGCCACTCAGAACTATCCGCCCATTATCCTACACTTGCGCTGTCTATGCACGACTGGTTTGATGCTAATGGCTTTAAAATGACAATAAAGTTGAATCTAATCTTAATTTGAGCACATTTTGACTGATTTAACCCTTTCATGATTTGGTGGATCACCTTTTGAGTCATTGTATCTATACTTGAAGCCTGGAACTGAAATCTACCTCATTGGGGGCATCTCTTTTTTAGGAACTTCTACATCAAAAAGTCAAGTGATAGAGGGCGGCACGGTGGAGTGGTAAGCACTCTCGCCTCTTAGGGACCAGGTCTGCTAACTAGCTGTTAGCTACGGCCTAACACAGCATCGGTTCCTGTAACAATGCTTCTTGTTCTGTCCCTATCAAATAAACATATCATAATAATAATAGCAAGAAGGTCCTGGGTTCGAATCCCAGTCGGAACAGGGCCTTTCTTAGTGGAGTTTGCTTGTTCTCCCTGTGCTTGCCTAGGTTTCCTCCGGGTACTGCGGTTTCCCCTACCACTAAAAACATGCTCACTAGGTTAAACCCTGCAGCTCTGGTCCTAGCCGAGCCGAGCCGAGCATCCCGGGCGCTGTTACTACGGCGACCACTGCTCCTGACGTAAGTCTTAGGGCATCAGGATATGGGTCAAATGCAGAGGATTGGATTAATCAAGTGCACCTTTACCTTTACAAACTCCATCTCAACCATTTAGTATAATTTAAAAACTAAAAACATAAAAAACAAATCATGTGTTTGCTAACCCTAACCCTCTTGCTCCTACATCTGAGATAATCCAAAAACATTAAGTGTTAAAACAGGATTCGCCAATAAAAAAATAATCTTGGTTTAAAAAATGCAAATAAAGTCTTCCTCAGAATTATAAAATACTAAATGGTTTTGTCCCATCAGCAAATCTTATTCCAAGACTGTCAGAATGTACTCAAATTAAGATAAAAACCAATTTATTGAAGCATTAATTACGTCCTATTGTATTATTTTTTTGCAGTGTAAGACGTTGTTTGACTCCAGGTTTTGAAGTCGCACACGCAGAGTTCTGTTTTGTAGTTTCTTTGTCTCCGCTGCTCTCTCTCAGTGCTTTTAAACACTTTGTTGTTCTTGCCTCCGCCTCCTGCTCCGGTCCCTGTAAACTGCAGAAATCATAGGTTTATGTTACAGAAAGAACATTTGCAGGATTCCTCCCCGGTTTGAGCGGGGGTTAGTCGATGATTACAGCGTTTACCTGCGACAGGAGGGTTTTTACTGAGAGTCTGCTGCAGGCTGCACTTCTCCATAAAACAAGGAGAATGCAGAGTGTTAGAGCCTGGTTATTCTGCACATTCAATTCAATTCAATTCAATTCAATTCAATTCAAATAACTTTATTAATCCGTGATGCACAGACAGAGCACCAGTGGGGGAACATCAAGACACAGAAATATCTAAATATAAATACATAAAACGGGAACATGGAATACTGCTGGGAAAAAATGGGATTTCTGAGAGAAGGCAGTGTCATGTCACAAACTGTTCAAACTAGTTCAAAATCATATTTGTCAAACTAATTTCATACATAACTTTATCTTTTTTTGCTGTTAATCTTTCCTAAATTGAACAATTTCTCTCATGAGGATATTTGTGTTTTATTGTTTACTTTTGTCACAGATTTACCATAAAGATATTCTGTGTGTTTGTTCTAAGTATATGCAGTACATGTATGTATTTGTATTTTTGTTGCAGAATGCTGTAGAATTGCAAAGAGCTATTCTACATACATACATACATACATACAGTACATATACATATACATACATACATACATACATACAGTACATACATATATACATACAGTACACACATACAGTACACATACATACAGTACATACATACATATACAGTACATACATACTGTACCACGAGGTTCTGCAGTTTGCACTAATTGTTCTGAGAAATGCACCAACAGTTGTGCAAATGTGAATGTGTGCAAAGCGACTGAGAAACACTGTAACAAGAGTGAAGATAAAATCCTTCAGTTGTAGCTCATATAAACACAACTGTTCTTAACCTGGATTTGATCATTGTCAAAGAAGTAGCCTGGGTTACATTTTCAAGAAGACTGTTCCAGATTTTAGCTGCGAGAATCCAAAATAAAGACTGACTCTGGGACCAGCAGGAGGCCAGTCCCTGTGCTCCTCAGAGTCCCAGCAGGAGGCCAGTCCCTGTGCTCCTCAGAGTCCCAGCAGGAGGCCAGTCCCTGTGCTCCTCAGACTCCCAGCAGGAGGCCAGTCCCTGTGCTCCTCAGACTCCCAGCAGGAGGCCAGTCCGTGTGCTCCTCAGAGTCCCAGCAGGAGGCCGGTCCCTGTGCTCCTCAGAGTCCCAGCAGGAGGCCAGTCCGTGTGCTCCTCAAAGTCCCAGCAGGAGGCCAGTCCGTGTGCTCCTCTCAGTCCCAGCAGGAGGCCAGTCCCTGTGCTCCTCTGAGTCCCAGCAGGAGGCCAGTCCCTGTGCTCCTCAGAGTCACATGAAGCAGAGACCTGAGACCAGGACTAAGGCGATGGTACTTGCTGGTTCTAGTCCGGACTCGAGCTGCAGCCTGTTGAATAATAAACAGTTAAATCCCATAGAAACTCATGCAACCTTCGACTGTCGACCCTTCTCTGTAATCTTCTGCTTTGTAAACATACTCGTGATGATTATGCTGAGTATTAGTGTTAGATTAATTTCCTTTTTTTAATAATCCATTGTGTTAATATCGTGTCAGACGTGGACTCGGCCCGTGACCGGTCTCCCAGTGCCTCAGTGAGTTTTCCCCACACGACGAGGAGAATCCCAGAGTGGCTTCTGATTGAGTGTTCCATGTTCAGTCTGCAGCTTCCGTCTCTTTGTCTACATTCTTGCCTGGTTCTCCTGAGTGTAATATGTCCCGTGCATGGAGCAGGCAGCAGTAAATATTGTTATGACGTGAACGGCTCTCTCAGGAGCTGCATGTAAGAATAGACCCGCTGTAATGCAGGGGAAGCGACAATAGCATGTTTGTTGTTTTAGAAGCACATTTGTTTTACTGTATATATGTGTGAGTTTGAATATAGTGTTGGGGGAAAGAGAAGAGGAGCTTTATATGTCCCACAGTGGGGAAATGTCAATGTTGCAACACAGTGCAGTAATAAGAGCACACAGGGAGCACACAAAATCTACACAATAAGTAGCTGCTTTTGTTGGTTAGCTAGCTGCAAATGCCACAATTTTAATTTTTACAGCGATGGACGGACAGACACACAGACGGACAGACAGACACACAGACAGACACACAGACGGGCAGACACAAAGACAGACAGACACACAGACAGACAGACACACAGACGGACAGACACACAGACAGACAGACACACAGACGGACAGATAGACAGACAGACAGACACACAGACAGACAGACACACAGGCGGACAGATAGACACACAGACAGACACACAGACGGACAGATAGACAGACAGACAGACACAGAGACGGGCAGACACACAGACAGACAGACACACAGACAGACAGACACACAGACAGACACACACACACAGACAGACACACAGACGGACAGACACACAGACACACACACACAGACAGACAGACACACAGACGGACAGACACACACACACACACACAGACAGACAGACGGACGGACGGACGGACGGACGGACGGACACACAGACGGACAGACACACACACACACAGACAGACGGACGGACGGACGGACGGACGGACGGACGGACGGACGGACAGACAGACTGTATTGTTTAGACTTTATGGAGAAAGTGTCCAGCAGCAGAAACACATTCAAACAAATAAATACAGCATTCTGAACGTTCCTAACAATAGTATTACAGTAATACACTTTAGGTAACATCAGCAGGTGGTGTAGCCGTTGGTGATGAGATGCTTCCGTTGGTTGACGTTTACAGAGTTGTCTTGGTTCGGACATTTTTCTCTTTTCTGATAAAGACTAAAATCCTAAAAGCTTTATTAGCATTTTTATTTTTTTAAATAACATTTCTCCGTTGGAATTTACATTTGATGTGTTTGGTTCAGACTGTGCATTCTCTCGGCTCTGGTCTGGATCAGTGGAAAACCATGAGCACAAAAAAAAAGACAAAATAACGATTGTTTTAAAGCTACTTAGGACTTGCTGCTGTTTCCTGCACATTCAAAAGTAAAAGTGTAGAGTACATGTTTTTTAAGGCCACTGGTTGGTGTGGTTGGTGTGGTTGGTGTAGTTGGTGTGGTTGGGGTGGTTGGATCGGGTGATGTGGTTGACGTGGTTGGTGTGGTTGGCGTGGTTGGTGCGGTTGGTGTGGTTGGTGCGGTTTGTGTGGTTCATATTCATATTCATATATATGTATATAAATATATGAATATATATGAATATGAATATGTATGGTTGGTGTGGTTGGTGTGGTTGGCGTGGTTGGTGCGGTTGGTGTGGTTGGTGCGGTTGGTGCGGTTTGTGTGGTTGGTGTAGTTGGTGTGGTTGGTGCGGTTGGTGTGGTTGGTGCGGTTTGTGTGGTTGGTGCGGTTTGTGTGGTTGGTGTAGTTGGTGTGGTTGGTGTGGCTGGTGCGGTTTGTGTGGTTGGTGTAGTTGGTGTGGTTGGTGCGGTTGGTGTGGTTGGTGTGGTTGGTGCGGTTGGTGTGGTTGGTGCGGTTTGTGTGGTTGGTGCGGTTTGTGTGGTTGGTGTAGTTGGTGTGGTTGGTCTGGTTGGTGCGGTTGGTGTGGTTGGTGCGGTTTGTGTGGTTGGTGCGGTTTGTGTGGTTGGTGTAGTTGGTGTGGTTGGTGGGGTGGGTGAGGATGGTGAGGTTTGTGTGGTTGGTGCGGTTTGTGTGGTTGGTGTAGTTGGTGTGGTTGGTGTGGTTGGTGTGGTTGGTGCGGTTTGTGTGGTTGGTGTGGTTGGTGCGGTTGGCGTGGATGGTGTGGTTGGAGCGGTTGGCGTGGTTGGTGTGGATGGCGTGGTTGGTGTGGTTGGTGCGATTTGTGTGGTTGGTGTAGTTGGTGTGGTTGGTGTGGATGGCGTGGTTGGTGTGGTTGGTGCGATTTGTATGGTTGGAGCGCTTATTGCGGTTGGTGTGGTTGGTGCAGTTTGTATGGTTGGTGCAGTTGTTTGGTGTGGTTGGTGCGGTTTGTATGGTTGGTGCGATTTGTATGGTTGGTGCGATTAGTGCGGTTGGTGTGGTTGGTGCAGTTTGTATGGTTGGTGCGGTTGGTGTGGTTGGTGCAGTTTGTATGGTTGGTGCGGTTGGTCTGGTTGGTGCAGTTTGTATGGTTGGTGCGGTTGGTGTGGTTGTTGCGGTTGGAGTGGTAAGTGCCCTTTTTAAGATTTTCAGGTTGGAATGGAACGTTGCAGAAGTCCCGGCGCAGCTGAGACGGTGTCCTCTAAAACTAATTTGGATGTAAATCTTCTCTCAGACAATTCCACAGCGATGAACTGAAAAACCTGTGGATTGCTTTTAGTTAAAACCAATTATAAATGAGCAGAAATATCAGCGCCGCGAGACAGGATCTCTCTCTCCGCCTCGTCTCCAGAGACTCCGCCTCTCCGTGGAGCAGGCGTCAGTGTTTTAGGGCCCGCTCGTTAGAACCATTGGACTTTTTAAAGGATGCAGAAGGGTTTGTGAAGGAAAGTAAGACTAAGAGGAAAAAAGAACTGATGCACCTTCGACTTTTGCACATTTTGTCAGTTTTTGACTATAAACGTAAAGTTCTTAGACTCAGGAAACAGACGACTGTGAAGTGAAACGCTCTAAATAAAACATATAAGTTTATTGTTAAACTTGACAATATTATCTCCTCCGTAGCTAAGCTCTCTCTCCTCTCTCTCTCTCTCCGCTTTTTCCGCTCTCTCTTCTGGTTGTTTGTCCTGAGGCCTCTCCTCTCTCTCCTCTCTCCTCTCTCTCTGCTCTCTCAGCTCTCTCCTCTCTCTGCTCTCTCCTCTCTCAGCTCTGTCCTCTCTCTCTGCTCTCTCCTCTCTCTGCTCTCTCCTCTCTCAGCTCTCTCCTCTCTCTCTGCTCTCTCCTCTCTCTCAGCTCTCTCCTCTCTCTCTCTGCTCTCTCCTCTCTCTGCTCTCTTCTCTCTCTCAGCTCTCTCCCCTCTCTCTCTGCTCTCTCCTCTCTCTGCTCTCTTCTCTCTCAGCTCTCTCCTCTCTCTGCTCTCTCCTCTCTCTGCTCTCTTCTCTCTCTCAGCTCTCTCTCCTCTCTCTGCTCTCTCCTCTCTCTGCTCTCTCCTCTCTCTCAGCTCTCTCCTCTCTCAGCTCTCTCCTCTCTCTCTGCTCTCTCCTCTCTCTCTGCTCTCTCCTCTCTCAGCTCTCTCCTCTCTCTCTGCTCTCTCCTCTCTCCGCTCTCTCTCCTCCCCCCTCTCTCTGCTGCTTGTTTGTCCGCGGCCCCAGCGCTGGTCTGCTCCACTGCTCTGCTTGTGTCCTTGTGAGCGCCTGGTGTGCAGCCGCAGAACCATGTGGAGCGTGTTGGTGGGACATGGCCCTGTCTCCCCTCAGACTGAACAGTGAATGAGGATAAGTGAGGAGCTCCAGTCAATGAATCAAGCAGCAGGAAGGGAGCAGCCGGGGGGGAGAGTGACGTCCCCCCGGGAGAGGCCTCGCATTAGGAACTTCCTCGTCGGTGTGTTTCTGGCACAGGTTAAATGGATCGCTCCCATTAGCGCGCTGAGAGGACAGCTCCATTATATGAAGGAGACTGTAACTTTGAATGTCACGGCGCAACAAGCCCGGAGCCCGCCGTGTCTCGCAGGAGGCTGCCCGGCAATGCCCATCCATGATAATCATTGGCTGTCAGCGTGAGAGCAAGCAAGACTCCATTACGGCTCTGTCAGTCTGGGCCCGGGCGGCGTCTGTTTACAGGATGTGTGCCCCCTGCAGATAAGAGCCGGGGTTAACCTGTCCCGGTGAGCAGACAGCGCCGCGGCTCGTGCTTAAACAATGCACACAAAAGATCAGAGAGTCGCTGACATGTCGCCTCCTTCTGTGTCTGTGAAGAGAGAATCAGGAGGCTTTCTTCTCACCTCCGTTTAATTTGGAGGAAAAATATGTCATTAGTCTCTTACTGGAGGATAGCAGCTTCATTCTTCAAAAAACAAACGGATCTAAAGGTTGAACTTAACTTGAAAAGAGAATTTTTTAAAGTAATGTTTCTTTGGTAAATCTGACTCTATACAGTTGTGTGATAAAAGTTTCAAGAGCAGACTTCTAAACACGCTTAGTTGTGTTTTGAATGCTTCTGCGAGCTTTCCTTGACTGGATGTTGACTTGACAGTTGCTGCAAAGCCTGTACTATGGAGAATGTTATGTTTCAATGTGATCAGAAGAAGGAGAGTTTTTTCAAGGAGAGCGTCCCCTTCAGACGACCCGCCGGGCCTGAGGTTCTGGAGCAGACAGAAGCTGGCGTCTGGGGCACAGCTCGAGCTCTATATCTCTCTCTGTGTGTGTTCTGCTCTCTGCTTCTGGACCCCTGTCTGACCCAAGAGATGCTGTCCCTCCAGCTCCAGGATATTGTGTCATTAATTAAATAATCTGCAGTTTTTTGGATCAAGTTTACTTATTTTTGTAGTGCCCCAAAACCAACATGTAATGGTCAACAAGAGACAAACAGATGGACCCATGTTCTCAGGAATAATGCAACTATTCTGTCTGTGTCTCTGTCTCTGTCGCTGTCTGTGTCTCTGTCTGTGTCATGTCTGTGTCTCTGTCTCTGTCTGTTTCTCTGTCTCTATCTGTGTCTCTGTCTGTGTCTCTGTCTCTGTGTCTCTGTCTGTGTCTGTGTCTCTGTCTGTGTCTCTGTGTCTGTCTCTGTCTGTGTCTCTGTCTGTGTCTGTGTCTCTGTCTGTGTCTCTGTGTCTGTCTCTGTCTGTGTCTCTGTCTGTGTCTGTGTCTCTGTCTGTGTCTCTGTGTGTCTGTGTCTCTGTCTGTGTCTCTGTGTCTGTCTCTGTCTGTATCTCTGTCTGTGTCTCGTCTGTGTCTCTGTCTGTGTCTCTGTCTGTGTCTCTGTCTGTGTCTCTGTGTGTCTGTGTCTCTGTCTGTGTCTCTGTGTCTGTCTCTGTCTGTATCTCTGTCTGTGTCTCTGTCTGTGTCTCTGTCTCTGTCTGTGTCTCGTCTGTGTCTCTGTCTGTGTCTCTGTCTCTGTCTGTGTCTCTGTCTGTGTTTGTGTCTCTGTCTGTGTCTGTGTCTCTGTCTGTGTCTCTAACTGTGTCTCTGTCTGTGTCTCTGTCTGTGTCTGTGTCTGTGCCTCTGTCTGTGTCTCTGTCTCTGTCTGTGTCTCTGTCTGTGTCTCTGTCTGTGTCTGTGTCTCTGTGTCTCTGTCTGTCTCTGTGTCTCTGTCTGTGTCTCTGTCTGTGTCTGTGTCTCTGTCTGTGCCTCTGTGTCTGTCTGTGTCTCTGTCTGTCTGTGTCTCTGTCTGTGTCTGTGTCTCTGTCTGTGCCTCTGTGTCTGTCTCTGTCTGTGTCTGTGTCTCTGTCTGTGTCTCTGTCTGTGTCTATGTCTCTGTCTGTGTCTCTGTGTCTCTGTCTGTGTCTCTGTGTCTCTGTCTGTGTCTCTGTCTGTGTCTCTGTCTGTGTCTGTGTCTCTGTCTGTGCCTCTGTGTCTGTCTGTGTCTCTGTCTGTGTCTCTGTCTGTGTCTCTGTCTCTGTCTGTGTCTCTGTCTGTGCCTCTGTGTCTGTCTCTGTCTGTGTCTGTGTCTCTGTCTGTGTCTATGTCTCTGTCTGTGTCTCTGTGTCTCTGTCTGTGTCTCTGTGTCTGTCCCTGTCTGTGTCTGTGTCTCTGTCTGTGTCTGTGTCTCTGTGTCTGTGTCTCTGTCTCTGTCTGTGTCTCGTCTGTGTCTCTGTCTGTGTCGTGTCTGTGTCTCTGTCTGTGTCTCTAACTGTGTCTCTGTCTGTGTCTGTGTCTCTGTCTCTGTCTCTGTCTCTGTCTCTGTCTGTGTCTCTGTCTGTGTCTCTGTCTGTGTCTGTGTCTCTGTCTGTGTCTCTGTCTGTGTCTCTGTCTGTGTCTCTGTCTGTGTCTGTGTCTCTGTCTCTGTCTGTGTCTCTGTCTGTGCCTCTGTGTCTGTCTCTGTCTGTGTCTCTGTCTGTGTCTGTGTCTCTGTCTGTGTCTATGTCTCTGTCTGTGTCTCTGTGTCTCTGTCTGTGTCTCTGTGTCTGTCCCTGTCTGTGTCTGTGTCTGTGTCTGTGTCTGTGTCTGTGTCTCTGTGTCTGTGTCTCTGTCTCTGTCTGTGTCTCGTCTGTGTCTCTGTCTGTGTCGTGTCTGTGTCTCTGTATGTGTCTCTAACTGTGTCTCTGTCTGTGTCTCTGTCTCTGTCTCTGTCTGTGTCTCTGTCTGTGTTTGTGTCTGTGTCTCTGTCTGTGTCTCTAACTGTGTGTCTGTCTGTGTCTCTGTCTGTGTCTGTGTCTGTATCTGTGTCTCTGTCTGTGTCTGTGTCTCTGTCTGTGTCTCTGTCTCTGTCTGTGTCTCTGTCTGTGTCTCTGTCTGTGTCTGTGTCTCTGTCTGTGTCTCTGTCTGTGTTTGTGTCTGTGTCTCTGTCTGTGTCTCTGTCTCTGTCTGTGTCTCTGTCTGTGTCTCTGTCTGTGTCTGTGTCTCTGTCTGTGTCTGTGTCTCTGTCTGTGTCTCTGTCTGTGTCTGTGTCTCTGTCTGTGTCTGTGTCTCTGTCTGTGTCTCTGTCTGTGTTTGTGTCTCTGTCTGTGTCTCTGTCTGTGTTTGTGTCTGTGTCTCTGTCTGTGTCTCTGTCTCTGTCTGTGTCTCTGTCTGTGTCTGTGTCTCTGTCTGTGTCTCTGTCTGTGTTTGTGTCTGTGTCTGTGTCTCCGTCTGTGTCTCGTCTGTGTCTCGGGCCTCTCAGATATTCCTGTTTGTCCATCTGCTCTGTTTTGTATTTTTTATATTAATTGATGCCTGAATAAAAGATTTTTGTTGGATGCAGAGGACATGTTTTGGTTGTAGTCGGAAAATCATTTTTGTTTTGAGTTGTCATGAAAAAATGCAAATACCCATCCATCCATTGTCTTCCCCTTAATCCATTTCTGGGTCGGGGGTGGCAGTCAGAGCACCAGCCCCTCACTGATCCTCCTGCAGGTGCTGAGTCCACAGGAGCTGAGATCGTTCAGCGGGGGCTTCAGGCAAAGTGGGGTTAAGTGTCTTGCCCAAGGACACAACGACAGCAGTCATCATGTGAGTCGTATAATGCAAATAAAGACAATTATATACGTATATATAAAAATAAAAACTGCAACTCAGAAGTCAGAGCGACAGTAGCTCAGTTGGTAGAGCACTGGCCTTAGAGCCTGAAGGTTGTGGGTTCGAGCCCACCGTAAGACCTACTTCACGACTCCCACTGATGACTGCTGTCGTTGTGTCCTTGGGCAAGACACTTAACCCCACTTTGCCTGAATCCCCAACTGAAAGATCTCAGCTTCTGTGGACTCAGCACCTGCAGGAGGATCAGTGAGGGGCTGGTGCTGTGTGAACTGGGTGCATCTCTGGCCACCCCCCCCGACCCAGAAATGGATTAAGGGGAAGAAAATGGATGGATGGAACTCAGAAGTCAGTTTTAATCTATACATTTGCTGCCTTAAAACACACACAATACAACTATGTGTGTAATAAAATCCATACTATTTCCTCTTCTTCTTTGTTCACTAGAATCTTTAGGTTTCACATTTATGTAGCTTCAGATCAGCTTTTTATCAGACAGAAAAGTGAAAAAAGGGAACGCCACCTTCACTCAGCCCAAAGCCTCAAAAAGTGACTCTTTCTGTGTGATATTTATGAATCTCAAAGTGAAGTACCTGAGCTTTACGTCATCAACCACTTTATTCTGTACGTTCTTGTTTCCAGCAGCTGCTTTATGGCGTGACCGTTGTTTTCGCATTGTTTTTGTGGCCTTTGAACATGTGGCTGAACCGTGCACAGAAGCCAGACTTGAAGCCCAGCCTGGTTACCTTGGTTACCGGGGCAAAAACCGCACCAGTCGCAAACGTTGTGGCTGGAAACTTAGAAAAACAATCTTCAAACTTTGTCGACGGAAACACAATTTTACACATTGTTATTGTTAAAGTTATTGGCGAACCTCAAAGAATTAGAATATTTTAAAAAGTTTATGGCTTTTTCTCCTGTATTTTTTTACTTTTTTGTATGTATTTTTGTGATTTAGGGCAATACAAGAACACAGTGAATTGAAATGAATAATATAGGGTAAACTAATAAGATAAGAAAGTTTAAATAATTGTTGTTTTACGTTAATCTCAGCATCGCTTTTCTCACACACGGCGCTGTGAGATTGTTTTGATGTGGTTTCTCTTCTGTGTGTTGCAGGAATCTCAGTAACAAAGAAGACACACACTTGTAAGTACTTTCACTTTTCACTCTTCTTCTTGTTGAGCTCGAGGTCAGCGCGAGACTCATCACCGTCAATTAAAGCTGGGGTACCTCACTTTTAAACCCCAGCACTGCAGCTGTGTAATAACATTCATGTGACTATGTCTGAAAAACAGTTTCCATCGCTCTCTCTCTTTCTCTCTCTTTTGTGTCTCTCTCTCTCTCTGGTCTTTCTCGGCTCTCTCTCTCCTCTCTCTCTCTGCTCTCTCTGTTCTCTCATCTTTCTCTCTGTCCGCTCTTTCTGTGCTCTCTCTCTCTCTCAGCTCTCTCTCTCCCCCTGCTCTCTCGTCTCTCTTTCTCTACTGTCTCTCGTCTCTCTGCTCTCTCCTCTCTCTGCTGTCCTCTCTCGCTGCTGTCTCTCTCTCTGCTCTCTCCTCTCTCTCTCTGCTGTCTCTCTCTCAGCTCTCTCTCTCCCCCTGCTCTCTCTCGTCTCTTTCTCTCTCTCAGCTCTCTCTTTCTCTGCTCTCTCTGCTGTCTCTCTCTGCTCTCTTCTCTCTCTCTCTCTCTGCTGTCATTCTGCTTTCTCTCCTCTCTCAGCTCTCTCTCTGCTCTCTTGTCTCACTCTCTCTGCTGTCTCTCTCTCTGCTATCTTGTCTCTCTCTCTCTGCTCTCTTGTCTCTCTCTCTCTGCTATCTTGTCTCTCTCTCTCTGCTCTCTTGTCTCTCTCTCTCTGCTGCCTCTCTCTCTGCTCTCTTGTCTCTCTCTCTCTGCTGTCTATCTCTCTGCTCTCTCTTGTCTCTCTCTCTGCTTTCTCTCTGCTCTCTTGTCTCTCTCTCTCTCTGCTGCCTCTCTGCTCTCTCTCTCTGCTCTCTTGTCTCTCTCTCTCTGCTGCCTCTCTCTCTGCTCTCTTGTCTCTCTCTCTCTGCTGTCTATCTCTCTGCTCTCTTGTCTCTCTCTCTCTCTGCTGTCTATCTCTCTGCTCTCTTGTCTCTCTCTCTCTGCTGTCTATCTCTCTGCTCTCTTGTCTCTCTCTCTCTGCTGCCTCTCTCTCTGCTCTCTTGTCTCTCTCTCTCTGCTGCCTCTCTCTCTGCTCTCTTGTCTCTCTCTCTCTGCTGTCTATCTCTCTGCTCTCTTGTCTCTCTCTCTCTGCTGTCTATCTCTCTGCTCTCTTGTCTCTCTCTCTCTGCTCTCTTGTCTCTCTCTCTCTGCTCTC